TTGACATGCCAGAGAAACTGTCTGCGCGAAGCCTCCAAGGGCCGTGTTGCTCTTGAATAATCCAGGAGAGAGGCCAAGGTTTTGAATGTCCTCAATAAGCGATCCATCTGCGGCGGGTATCGACAACACTCTGAGGCGTATATTCCAGAAATTGCTACGTTGAAACGTTTCAAGAGAGCACAAAACATCTAGCGAATGTTAGTTTGGCCTAAGGTCCTACATCATCGGGGCAAGAAACGGACCCGATGTGCAAGCACGCAGAAATGCAGCAACGGCATAGCTTGCGGGCAATAACCGGGCTTGCTTGAACTGAGAATAAGCTAGGCTCGCGCAAAGAAGTTGGATCTTTTCTCGAACTGTTTCGGATGTCCAGGTGGTGGCGAGTCGGATCAGTCGTAGGATTAGCCATGCGAATAGAGGAGCATGTATGTCCTCGCCCAGGATGAAAGGGTCGGAGGATTCCCACAGAGCTTGGGGGGCTTTCTCAATGCTAGCTTGAATGATATCTAAGCAGTCGAGAACTTGCCCTTCCAGATCTTGCTCTGATTCGCTCCTGTTTGGGCTAATCTCTAGGCCGGCCTTTAAGACAATGCATATGAGTTTGTTGACATCAGTGACATCTTCATCAACGCGTAGTTGAGTCTGTATTTCACTAAGGAGTTCCTGGCGAAGCTGTGCAAATGTTTCCCGGGTTATATGTGATTCATTTCCTTGGGTTGCAAGATGCGGTACGAAACGCGAAGCAAGGATGGACGAGGCAGGTTCAGCTCTCCAAGCGTGCCCAGGCGCGGTGGCCCGTTCATTCTGTCCCTCGGTTGCCATATGGGAGACACATGTTAATATCAGGGTTGAAGTTTCAATTCCTCGCGTTTAAAAGAATTTCCGAGGCTGGGTTGTGTTCGTGTGGATGTTTGAAGTGCGCAGATACGCGGAGAGACTTGATATGTCGACTGACACCTGATGCATCAGGCATCAGGTATCCACCACTACATGCGTGCATACATTCTGCAGTATTATCAGAGCTTATGATGCACGGTTTGCAAATCTATGAATTGGCCTTATATCAATTCAGATAAAGGAGTAAAGGTATTGATGAGGTCTTCAATATATGCGGCAATTTGAATTCAAAATTGGCCACAGTAGATACATATATATTCTAGAAAATATAATAATAAATTATAGTATTCAAAATCGAGACAGGTGATATAATCCAAGAGATTCAAGAGAGATCCCTATATAAATATCCATTGCATCATGTTGGACCTTGGATTGTGGCTCAAAAGTTGGTCAACCTCACTTTCGAAATTTCGGGTGCCACTGCTCTTTTACCCTCTTCTGACTCCCTTCACTTCCTGAGATACCTGATTAGTCATTGGAGTCAACTCAAATAAGCTTAAAATCTACTCTAGAGGGGAGAACTTTCGAATTGGCTATGGAGTTCAAGGGTGACCCTGTGGTTGCGGAGGATTCGAGACATGGACATTTTATGAGACAAGCCTTGTTGATGGTACGAAACTTCTTGATGCCGAGGAATCAAAGCATACTCACCCAGATACCAGGGCGAGAAGGCTCTTCAGTCAGGCGAAACTCCCGTTGGTTGCGTTCTGGTGCACAACGATCAAATTGTGGGATTTGGCATGAATGACACAAATAGATCTATGAATGTGGGTGACTTCTAAAGATGCCAATGCATAGAAACTGCTGACAACCCCCAGGGAACGAGACATGCTGAGTTTATAGCAATTGCAGAGATGCTCCAAAGCTACCCCAGGTCAGCATTGCAATCTACTGATCTCTACGTCACGGTCGAACCCTGCGTTATGTGCGCTTCTGCGCTAAAGCAATACCGCATCCGCAGTGTGTACTTTGGGTGCGCTAATGATCGATTTGGAGGCACTGGAGGTGTTCTTTCATTACATTCCGAGTCAGTACATCTCAACGCCGGCAACTGATCGTGTAAGGCTGATTGGATATAGCTCCTCAATTGACCCATCATACCCTGTCTACGGTGGGCTGTTTGAGAAAGAAGCAATTATGTTGCTCCGTCGTTTCTACATACAGGAGAATGAAAAAGGTAGGAGTTCGGACGCACAGCCCCTAACCTTGACTACCTGCTGATTACATGACAGCCCCTAACCCCAGACCGAAAAAGAATCGAGAGTTGAACACCAAATTCGAAAATGGCAATGAAGAAGCGCCAGCAACCTGGTAACCCACAAGGCTCGGATTCGTGATGTCTCCAAACATTTCACTATACCTTCAGGGCTAGATTGAATCCGTTTCTGATACAGACGGGGAATAATTGGATCCAAAGGGCATCTCCATGTAAATATAGAAAGCGTTAGGGTTGATCGGAACTGGAATCTGTGTTGCGAATATCAATTGCGCCCCCAAAAACACACACAAAATAAGATACGTGTACAAATCTGCAACACTGAACGGAAAGGCTGCCCATCATTCTTTTTTTCTCTCTAGCTGATGGTGTATATTCATGAAGAGCCAGTACGCTCTGCCTCCAATTCCTGCTCGGCCTGCTGGTAGTATTTGGCAGTGTCCACGCCATGCTGATACAAACAATCAACATCATCCTTCTCAGATTGACTTAAATGGAGTACTTACTTGATCATGGTTGACAAAGTTGAACCATGGGATAACATGGATGAAAAGTTCTGAGTACCGCGAGTTGCGGGCTGCCATGCCTTGTAGATTGGACGACATTTGGGATTTACCGTACAGAGGCTCGCCCTTCTTGACCTTGTCGACCATCTCACGAGTATCCATTTCGACCTCTCTAGCATTCTCGGTGAAGCCGTAAAAGCGCTCTGTGAAGGTGTGAGTTGAGACGTCATCAAAAAGAAAAAGTGGGCGAGGGTTCCGGTGGAGGGATATGGCTTACGGCAGGATCGCTGATAGAGGACATGAAGACCGCCAAGCAGACCAACAGCTGTGGCAAGTCGCATAACGGGGGCGAAGCCACCACGGCCTACATGTGACGGGCTTGCTCTCTCCATGATCCAGAACGAGATGGGAGCAGCCGAGGCCATACCGCCAGCCACGGCCCAGTCGGAAGGCCGGGCATATCCGAATACCCGTTTCAAATGCCTGAGAAAGATGTGAGCTTGTGACAAATTCTTAAAATCCGGGGTAAAGCGTACGGGTCGGAATCGATCAACTGTGGGATATGTTAGCCAAAGACGTACGCGAACGAGCAGTTTGGGACGGAAAAGTATCAGTCCCAGTTCATGCTGGATATATCATACCGGGTAGTCAGTGTTAGCCCGCTTAGAGGGCACAATGGCTGTTTTGGTATCGGTCGCCATGTTGCTTGAGGTGTGGATGTGCTGGCGTTCGAGGTTGAAGTTCTGGGAGTTGGAGGGAGAGACCAAGCTAACTTTATTGGGTCTAGTACAATTAAGGCGGACAAGAGGCCCGTTAGCCAATCAGAACGCAGATAACAGGCTACTCGCGTCACGCGTCAAGGCGGCATCTGATTGATTGACATGCGGATATTCCAAGATAGTATCTCATACACAGTTGAATTGCTCCAATCCAGGTGCCACCGCTTTTTTTTTTTACCCTTCAGACATCGTGATCTTCTCAAACCGGCTCCTTGATATAATTGCACCTACAGCAGCATCTACGCGCGAGTGGAACTATGGCGAACGCGAACGTTTCAGACCGAGGAAGCTCACCGACAGCGGGTGATTTGAACGATCTTTTTGATTATGACATCGGCTTAGATGAGATTATTCCGGATAATAATGCCCCAAATTCCAACAGCACCAAGGCCGCTGGGACAGGGGAATCGGCACTTGGTTTGGGTCTTGATGAAGAAGTCAAAGTCGCAAAGAAACGACAACCTGTGGCAAAACTAGATGAGGGCCGGTGAGTCTCACGTGCTTGCTTGCTTCCTGATCCTGATTGAAATCTCTCTTCTGTTTATGAAGAACATCTGGGGCTGCAGTAATGCTGATAAATAGGCTAGTTTACTCTCACAACCAGGCATACCCAAACTGCGACATACTGCCAGACAGAAGCTGAAATTCAAGGGCAAAGGACACGAGGTTCGCTCTCTTGTGTATCTAACATACCTAAGGCATGACTAGTGTAACTGACTTGGGTTCGCTATAGTTCAAGGATGCCGCACGCTTGCTCAATTTTTACCAGCTATGGCTTGATGATCTATTCCCACGCGCAAAATTCGCAGACGGTCTGACAATGATTGAGAAACTGGGACACTCCAAACGCATCCAGGCCATGCGACGAGAATGGATAGACGAGGAGAAACCGAGACTTTTCGATGGCCCTGGACCTACGCGGGAAGAGCTCGAATATCGCCACGTCCCCAAGAACACTGCAGATTCCAATCAGAACCCTGCCGGGATTACTCAGGATTCGGAAGAGGCTACCGACCAAGACCTGTTTATTCCAGACCCAAGCGAGAGCGCGCGGCCTGCAATCAGCTACCCTGAGCCCGAGCCCGAGGACGATGATTTGGATGATCTTCTCAGAGAACAGGATGAGCCGATGACTGCTTTCCCCCCGAAATCCGTGCCTCGTCTTCACGGGTACCAGATGACGATAACGACGACTATGATGCTGAATACGAAGCGATGAAGGAGCTTGGGATGTAACTGTGAAGGCACCTTGTACAATACATAGATTTTAATGATAGTAACTAGTGGAATATGTCTAACCTCGGGACAAGCCCGCTGATACCTGCCAGACCATACCCGTTTAATGAAATCACCTAGGGGATGTATGGCTCAGATAGGGATTGAACCCCAAATGAGTCTAAAACTAGAATTACTAGGAACGACACATTGGATAATTTTGAAGAAAGGGAATTAATTTCAAATAACGTGCTAACGGATGACAATAACCGGAGATTGCAAAGAGACTCTTCATGTACTACCCCGGAAACGAGCCAACACGCAGAAGAGAGAAAAAGAGACATTAGATGTTACAATGGAGAATTAGGTCAATTGAACATATTGACCTCACTCGCTGGCAGGCTCTGTGAACACAGAGAACTGACCACCAGCACCAGCCCAGTTTAATTTCTTTCCACGAGTAGCAGTGTTGTCGATAACAGTAGCCACTTCGATGTCATCTTGTGTACCTTGTCCAGTTTGGTACGTAGCCGAGAATCCCCATGACCATGCGCGGCCATCGGCATCGATAGCGAGAGAATGATCCGAGGCAGCTGCCACAACCTTGGCCTTGACCCCGGGAATGGGGGTAGGTGCGATCAGGATACGAGGACGCCCGCGCTCATCTTTGATAACGGCATCATCGGCAAGAGTGTCAATCTTCAAGCCACTTTGGAAACCGTCGAGACGGCCCCAAACCAAGCACTCACCATCGCCAGCAATGGCAGCAGAGTGATGGGCGCCACCGCAGATTTGCGAAATATTACGGTCAGAAAGTGATTCGACAAGCGTGGGATGCACGATAGCGGCTTCGTCGTCGCCGGCGCCCTCGCGGATGGCCGTTGCACCGAAGCTATTCAATCCCCAGGCATAGACATTTCCAGTGGTGTGAACGGCAAACGAGTGGTACGAGCCACTCCCGATGTGGACAATGTTCTTTGGGAGACCGAACTCCCGAGGCTGAAGACCGTTCAATCTGTTGCGCTCCACGATCCTGCGACCGAGCTGATTCTGCTGACCAGAGCCCCACGAGTAGACGCGACCTTGGTCGTTCAGGGCAAGAACGTGATTGGCTCCGCAAGTCAGGTGCGTGATCTTTTTCAAAGACGAGATCAAAGTTGGGGTGGTTTGAACGTGAGAAGACGCGTCGAATCCGAGGATTCCGTCATTGCTCTAGAATTGTGGTTAGTATAAGAAATCCGATGCAAGACAGTCAGGTCATCTTACTCTGAAGGTGCCCCAGCCATAGACTAGACCATCATCGGTCAGGGCAAAGCTTGCGCTATCCGCGGCGGCGACTTCGACGAAAACAGTGCCTTCGGGGAAAGCAGTTGCGGGGATGGCAGTGGGAATAGACTCGCGGGGGTTCAATCCGCTGTCTTCATCGTCGGAATCAGAATCGCTGTTGTTTTCAATGTCCTTGTATCCACCGTCCCACTCGGTTTCTCTTCCGAGCGCACCCTGGTCGTTCACTCCCCAGGAAAAGATCTTGTTGTCATGGGTTAGAGCTAGACAGTGCATGCCTCCGACAGCAACCTGTACAACTCCGACCTCTTCGGCAGACAGAAGCTTGTTCAAACGTGGGCGCTTCACATCGATGGCATTCTTAGCTGTGCCCAAGCCCAGCTCACCAGAGCTGCCCTCACCACAGACAAAGACATTCAGCTTAGTCTTTGGAGCTTCATTGATGACAATTTTGGCCTTGGGCTTTGGCTGACGGGCTTGCGCGACACGAGACCTCTTGATTTCGCGAGGTTTTTCCTCATCCTCATCCGCTTTGCGCTTCTTTGTAGCAGAGGCCGATTTGGTGGTAGATTTCGCAGTTGGCTTCGCAGTTGACTTGGCAGTTGGCTTCGCAGTTGGCTTCACAGTTGGCTTGGCAGTTGACTTGGTACTTGCAGTAGACTTTGCAGTGGATTTCGCAGGCTTTGCAGCCGGCTTCGTAGATTCTTTCACAGACTTTTCAGTCTTGGTCACGGTGGCCTGCCTCGCGCTGGTGCGAGTACTTCTCTTCACCGTCTCTGTCGAGGCCTCGACAGACTTGGACGTGTTCTTTTTAGGAGGCATGTTGTCTTGAAGCTATTAGAAATAGCAAAGAATGAGAAAGAACAGGGGAGGAATGTTTGAAGCTGAGATTGAAAGAAAAGGGAAAAGGCGCGTTAAAAAAAAAGGGTGCCAAGCCAAAACAGCCAAAACATAGCACATTCTCTCTCCCCAGCCACCTTCAATGGGCTGATTCATTTATATTTACGCGCGAATATGTTTGAATAGAATATTATAGAATATTATCAATAGAGATAATAGAGACAATAGACATAATAGACATAATAGACATAAATATAGTAGAAATAAGTCAATCACGAATCTTTCCACACATAATCACATTCTGTCCCAATGGCATCCATTTAACATCTCGAGGATTTAATGCAGCATTGGGTTTACCCTCCTGATCTTGTTTCGAGTCAGGGCTGACATTCACTCCACCACGGCCAAGGTAGGTGGGAGCAACTGTCACAATAATCGAGTCAATGAAGCTTGTATACTCTGGATTCAACAATTCACTCAGGACCGTACCACCACCTTCAATCATGACACTCTTAATACCCTCAGATGCCAAGGCACGAAAGACAGCTTCCCAGCGTAATCGCCAGTGTTGATTGTATTCTACAATGCGGAGAAAATCCCCACCGTAGCCTTTGAGCATCACTAGTGTCTGGGGGTTGATTTGAGCTCCTGGGGATAACACAACCCATGGAGCTTTGCCTTTGCCTTCAACAGCAGTCCGCAACATCCGGCATTCAGGATGAACAGGCCATCGGCCCATAGGATCAATGATCACTGGCCGTGGTTGCCACATTCTCCCCAGTCCTCCAAATCCACCGGCCCCTTCCAGACGGCAATTTAAACCTGGATTATCCGCAAGAACGGTCCCTACTCCAACAAGAATGGCATCGTGCCGGGAGCGAAGATAATGGGTCATCAATTTGGCCTCCGGTCCAGACAATACTGTCTGCATTCCTGGTTGAAGAGAGATCTTGGAGTCCATTGACGATGCGTATGACAATGTAACATGGGGAAATTCCCGGCGCTCCGAGTGATTGGGAAGATAAGGGTGTAAGAAGTCTAGCGAAAATTGAGGGAATGATAGTGTGTCCGGGGGCAAAACTGACGAGATCAAGGTTGGTTTTGTTTGGGAGGAGACCTCGTTGACACCATCGGTGCTTTGAGTTTTAACAATACCATGACCCTTCTGGTATTCGTAGCCCTCGTGTGCGACCAGATTCACATCTGGGTTTTGTATACGCCACTTGGCGGAGATGTTACGGACGTCCGTCACAGTGAAGAATCGCCCTCCAGCCTCTCCAAGCTTATCTGGTTCTTCTTGGAATTTGGTATAGATGGAAGAAGGAAGATATCCCTTCACAGATTCTTTGCGTGCGTACTCCATTAATCCCGAATTCCGCTTCACTCGGTCGATGTAGTCGAGGTCATGCGAGTGGATGCTGCAACTTCCCGGCGTTCTCGCGATAGTGACGGTCGAGTATGCACCTTCAAACCGGACAACCTTGATTTGAAAGTTACAGATGCCTCCCTCTCGAACTCGCTTTTTGCGAGGGCGCTTGCCCTCTGGCAAGGGGCGAGTTTCGGATGTGCGGTGTGTTGGACGCCGTAAACGGCACATGTAATAGTCGGTGGTGCAATGGCCCTCTTTGCTCGCATTTGATCTTTGTTTGACCCACACATTGTCAATAAAGGGCCAATATGTTTCAAATTCTTCGAGACTGATTTCTATCGGGTCCTTGCACTCGAATAGGACCTTGCGTATGCGCGCTAGGTTCGGTGGATTGTTGAAAAGACTAGGGGTGGCGTTTGCGCCTTGACTCGTTGATACGCTGCTGCTGTGAGGGTCTTCGATAGTCGCACTGCGCTGTGTTGACTTGTTCTCGCCACCGTGTAATGCTTGTTTATCAAGGGCACTGGATAGATTGATCGGGGTTGTGGTTTCTAGAAGGTCTTCGTCTATCGTGTCTCGTGCATCGCAGCCCCGTTCGATCTCTTGGTCTATTCTCAAAACGTCTTTCGCATGCACAGAAATTCCATTGTGCGGGGATCCCGCCTCGCTGCCAGAAGCCTCTAAGCTCGAGACGGACGCGTTGGAGGCATGGTCCATTATGGGGAAGCGTGGCAGAATACGGGTATAGCTCTGTATTCCCAGCTATGGCAATGAAATGGCCATTTCACTGGGGAATATCCCCAGATAGACGATATATACAGAGCATATCAGAGCAAAATGTCGGAGGAGCCTCGGGAAGAACATAGTGGGGCGGAAGCATGAAGGCCCGGACATGTTACCCACGTTTATTGTCCATGTGTACTCCGTATACTGTATATCAAAATCAAACCTATAGAGGGGAACATAATTCGATCTTAAGAAAGCAAATAGAAATAATTAGATCGATAATTGCATTCTCTTCGATTTTTAGAGACATTTAACCACAAAGTATCTCAGTATCTCAGTATCTCAAATCACATTTAATATGCCCCGATATCCGCCCCAGCACGAGCCAGAGTCTCATAGACTCGTGGTGGCAATTTGTACTTGACCATTCCCGAAAAGACCATGAGATCCTTGGCCATAACAAGCAAAGTGTCCGCCAATCCCTGGCGCACTTCACTATCGTACATCCCAAATGTCCGCTTTTGGCGTTCATAGCCAATACATGTGATGCTCCACATGATGACAGGTCCGACGTTGCGTGAAATGATAGGTGGCAAAGAGGAGAAAGCTTGGGCTGTGCTTCGAATATACGACACGGAGCCCTGTGCTTGCAGGGGGAGAATATTCAAAGCGTTGATAGCCTGTAACGTTCATTAGTAATTCAATCATGAAATAAAACCATGGGCTAAAGACACTTACATCAAGAGCTGGCGCCCATCTGCCGGCTTCAACCTGGGTCTTTGCTTCCATCATACGCAGCAGCAACCCACAAGCATCACGGTTAATCTGTCGGATTTGTCCATAGTACATTCTGTCTGAATCGTAAAGACTGATCATGTTCTTGGCAAGCACACCTGGATCATCCACGGCAGTCAAACTGAGGCTGCTTCCGGCTTCCACTGCCTCCGGCTGACTATCTTGATTTTGGTCGATCCTTGGGCGCAGGGGCTGCAGCTTCGGCATGGCACCGCCTAGCTCGACCGCAATCGCATCTGACAATGCACGGTTGATGATGTCAATGACACGGTCATAGTTCTCTGCCAAGTGGTACAGAAGCACGGCATCTGTGATCAATCCCTTATCATCTGCAACCGCAGCAGCTTGAACCGTAATGGTCTTCAAGAATTCTTGCTGGTCAACCAATTTGATCAAATCGAGACGTTGCTCAATGGCTCCCTTGAGGCGAGTACCATCCGCCCGAATATCGCCAAGCAATTTGGCAAAGTCCCTGGTTTCTAGAATGAACTCTCGCAAGGCCTCGTGGCAGACTGATGCTTGGGACTTGCCCAGAGCACCTGGAAGATCTGCGTTGAGGCAGATCAATGTGAAGTAATCGATGGCAGCTTCAACGAATCCAGTGCGGAATTCTCGGGTGTATTGGGTCAAGAGATATCCGAAATTGATCTGGGGATATTGCTTGACTGTGAAGGAGACTGCGTAAAGCGAGAAAATTGAAGGTTAGCAAAAATCAGAATATTATGGCAGAAGGTAAGCTTACGAATTTCTTCACCAGAGGTGTAAAAGTCGGACACGCGCAAAAGCCCGTAATATGACAGGGCGATGGCGAAATGAACAGCAGTGACTGGGGCATAAGTGCCAAGATAATGGACAGCCTGCTCAAACATTCCTCCCAATATCTGCAGCAGGAAGTAAGTTCCATAGCCACCGGGTCCCTCGTTGCCTTTGACAAAGACTCTCTGGCCAATCTCCTGGATGTCGGTCTGAATATCCTCTAGGCCGAAGACGTCACCTGCAACCTCTTCAGCGCGATCATCCTCTCTTGCAAGGCTGAATTGTAGCCACATCCAGTCCTCGACGGTCTGCTTCACACCATCCAAGCGACGACGCGAGAGATCACAACGGCCAATGATTTTGTAGCATGCCATTCGGTAAGGATCGACTGTATTTTCAGGTGCGTTCCGTGAGCGCTGCTGAAACTCCCCGTTGATCTTTTGCTGCAAGTCCCGGGGCAGTCTCCTGCTCTGCGCATAGGTTGTCATGTAGGTCACAAATTTGTGATCTAAAGACCGGAACCCACTGTCCCGACTCACGTATTCAGCTGCCTCGGTCACGAAACCACATCGAAGAAGGTAAAAGATGAGAATCCAGCAGTAGTCTTGGTTCACCATTTGGAGCTCGGTACCATCAGGTGCCAGATCCTTCCTCGCGGCCTGAAGACGGATGTAAGCGCGAATCTTGTTGATGACAGTTGGAATTCCTCCCAATTGTGCTTCCCGGGGGTTTTTGGCAATGGCCGTTTCCACTTCATCGAAGAATGTGCTCTCAAGGAAACCCCTGGAACCTTCAAGAATCTGTTTCTTGAGTTCGATTGCTTTGAGAGATTTGGATGATTCTTCAAGGTAATCTTCGGCATACTGTCGCTCTTTTACTGCTCCGGGCTCCGATGGGTTCATGATGTTTGGCTTTTCGTGGACAATTCTTATCAAGGCTTGATATGCATTGAAGAGTTGCCGAGGTACCTGGTAACAACGATTAGCTAGACGAACATCCATATTGCGGAAGGTTTTGAAACTTACATCACCACCGGCTTGCACTTCAACATATGAAAACTCGTCGAGTACGGGATAGCATTTTCCTTGAAGCCTGGCAAGGTTCAACTGCTGAACCTTCTCGGCGTAGTGTCCCATCTTCTCCCGTTGGAACCTAAGATCAGGCGAGTGAGACGCAGCTCCTTCATTTCGCTCTGCTGGGTCCTCAAATATTTGACGGCTTGCCAAGCCGGCCCCAGGTGTGCCAATCACCGATTTCTCAAGACCGGAACGCCCGAAAACGCTTCTGCGGGATGCGGTCGAGGGTCCATTGGCTGGAGCAGCTCCGGTTTGCTTAG